TGTGCTGCCACAGGCTGCTTCGTTTCTCATTTGCTCCGTAACTTCTGGCTTTTCAGAAAACATGGGAAAAACCTGGCCAAGCAACATGGTCTGCACAGCACCATGCAGAAACAGGGTCAAGCCCTGGTGACTTTGGGCAGCTGAAGTGAGCAGGGTGGAAACACGGGGAAGGGGTGAGCACTTGCCCGGCTGGGCACAGCCCCCTGGGTTTATCCCTGACCCTGAAGGATGTGGCAGGGCATGATCCTGTGCAAAAGGTAAAGCATTGGGCTTGGCTTTCAGGAAGGCCCGGGAGCAGCATCTTCTAAAAAAAATACCCGGCAGGACAACTGCAATCTTGCTGAGTATTTGGAGAGAGACCACCACCAACATAATGGGGAGTGGCAGTCCTTGCTGTTTCTGGATGCCAGGCTTGAAAGCATCTCAGAGCTGATTTATCTGACTGCCCGCAGATCTCCTTGGAAATAGAGAAATGTTGGTGTGAGTGATGGCTTCCAAACTCAGCTCAGAAAGTTTGGCGACAGCAGCGACGGAGGGCTGAGCCTCCTGTGAAGCATTGCTGGGACAGCTCTGTGTTGTAACGCAGCTGGGACGAAACAGCCAAAATGTTTACTGAAGAAATTAAAAAGTTTTCCAAGAACAGAAAAGAAAAAAAAAAGGCAGGGTGGGGGGGAAATGAGGAAAGAATTTAATACACCACCCCCAACAGCCTGGAAAAGCCGAATAACTGAAACAGAAATTGCTTACAGGGAAGGTAGATCCAGGGCTGAAAAGGCAGGAGGAGGGAGCCAACGGTCACTTATCTTCTCAGAGGGTGAAGTGGATGGGGGGAAGCACGGCTCATAGATAAAAGTTCACATTTAATGTTTTTATCAGCGCCATGCTGTTTCTCTGCTTGCTAGTCTGAGCTTACAGGAGATGGCAGGGAGGGAGGCACAAATCTTGAAAGGAAACTAAGTGCTTTTTCCGGATTTTTTTTTTTTTTAAATAAATAATTAAAAAAAAAAAAAAAAAAAAAAAAAGAGGAAAACGAAATACAAGTCACTATCCCAATCCTCCCAAAGCTCTGCGTGCAAGACCAGCCCCGTGCGGGGTGCGGGCAGGGTGCCTCCCGCAGCCCAAGAAGGAAGCACCTTGGCAGCCGCCCCGGCCCCAGCCCCAGGGCAGGAAGGGTAGAGCCATTTCTCACTGACAAAAGAAAAACAAGTCCCAGCCCTCTGCTCCGGATCCAGGCGGGTAGAGGCTGCTTCACCTGCTCTGCTGGCACATTTGGGAACCAGCCTTTGCTCCCTGACAGAGCCACGACAGCATCTTCCCCCTCCATTGATGCAACATTTTAGCTTACTCCAAACTCTCCCCAGTGGAAACCACAACGTGGGGCGAATAAAATTGCACAGGTCATCCACAGATTTAATAGGATTTGGATTTAATTGCAGCCTTGGCTACATCCCAAAGCTGAAGAGCTCAGCTGTCAACCCCAGGAACCCCCATCCCAAATAACACCACAGGGGCTGAGAGTGGACCTTTCCACCACTAGCTTGTTCAGACTTTTTTTTTTTCCAACTGATCCTCTATTTCCATCCTCCATTTCCTGATCATGCCATTATCACTACCAAACATGGGTAAGTGCCTTGGGAAAGGGGGACAGGGGATAAATCAGCTCAATTTCACGCAGGGCTGAGCTTACTTACCACCAAATACAGCATGGTGTAGAGGGAGAAGGATGCATGCCCCGAGAAGAAGGATTTCCTGCAAAACAAAGCAGGTGCTAAGAACCAGGCACTACAATCTTTGGCATTATAATTTTACATGTAATATGTTAAACTTGCCTACTGCTACCGAGAGGGTGCCAAAGCAGAAGAACCCACAACCCCCAATCTTTTGGGTTACAAAACGCCCATTAGCCGCCCCACTCGCTCATGAGGCAGAAAGCGAATGGAGGGACAGGATGCTCACATTGTTCGTCCCTTCCTGGTCTACTCATGGGACAGCAGTGATTTCCAGGATAGCCCGATAACTCATCGTGTCGCCTCAAATAACCAGGAAACCATAAAGAAGTAAGAAGTGAGCAACTTCTCTCGTCACTTAATTGCGGCATGTGAAATTGCAGCATGGAAAAGTCAAAACTGAGTATCTGATGGATTTGAAAGAGAGCTCGAAGGGGAGGTGCTGGCAGCCCTGCCTGCGTGGAGCCTTCTTGGAGAAGCCCCCTGCTCTGCCACATGGGACAGCACGAGCTGCTCGCCATGAGCTCAGCTCTTACGGTGAATTCCCACATTGAGCAACTGCTCAGGGAAACAATAGCGTAGGAGTAAAGAGAAAGGAAAAGAAATATTATTCAGCCGAGTCCTGCGACTCCCAGGGGAAACTGCCTGTCGCTGGCAGACGGAGTTACGGCCTTTGCAGAAAAAGCATCGTTTGAATCATCTAGTGCTGGCAGAGAAACCCCAGGACAGATTTAGCATTAGGCACCATTTCGGTGGCAGCGACCCACTGGTTTGACACCACAGGCTCTCACCTGGCTTCCTGGACCTTGCTGTCGTTTCCCCTGCAGGTGTAGTTTTGGATGTAAACTCCCTTAGCGCAGTTGATGGTGGAGAAATCCAAATTGCAGACGTCCAAGAAATGCGGCCGCAAGCGCCCGACGGACACTTTGGCAATGTCTGTGAAGGACTGGCTGATGGCACAGCCGAAAACGAAGCAGCCCACCTGCTTGTAGAGCGCTGCCACATAGGGGTTCTGGATAAAGGAGTGCGACTTCTCCTTCAGGTAGTGGATGCGGTAGAGCTCTCCCGTTATAATCTGTGGGGGAAACACAACAGAGAGGTTAGAGAGCAGGAAAGATGCTGTGTAAAACCAGCCACGGGCAGCAAATGCAGGGCCAAGAGAGCTCTTCATGCTCCGAGCATCTCAAACCAGGAATATGCTCCCACAATGAGGAAGGAGAGCCCACAGCCCAGCGTCTCTCCATCCTCCTCCTCTTCCCTCTCAAGAAAAGAATGCGCTGCTCAAAGTGTTGTTTATGGGAAAATTTCATAAACAAGAAGAAAGAAGACAGACAGGTCTTGATTTAGCATGTAGGCATATCTTTACAGAAGTGAAATAGTACCCCAGATCTATATCAGCACAGTGGAAAAAAAAAATTAATATAAACCAAATAAAGAACCCATGTGTGTTTGGGAACGAGGGGCCAGATCCACTACCCTCTTATCAAACCAATTTTGGAGGAAAACAAATGAACAAGCTGCTTATCTTCTTCTCTGAAAACCATGAACACAACAGAGGAAGATTCAGAAAGCCCAAAACTTTTCAGATTCTAGCTCAAAATTTGCCACCACCAAACCCAATTCAAGCCACTCAAACCCTCCGTAAATGCCAGCTATTTCAGGCATTTCAAGGGGTCTTGCCACTGCATGGCAGCAAATTATGTGTTTCTTGTGACGGGGGTGCTGGTGTTTGACAATATTGCCATAAATCACAACCAGGGAGCAGAAGACCTGACTTCTCATAATCCCAACTCTTAAAAGGCAGGTTAATGAACATCAGGCTGTGAAATTAAGTCCAAATGTCTCACCTCTCCCAAAGAGGCAAAGGCTTAAATTGTTCTCCGTCATGTTACACACCTAGGTTTTGAGCTCCAGATTTACAGCTTTAGGATTTTATTCATTACTTTAAATGTTTTTATACCTGAGTAATAAATCGAGGTTTTTTTGTTGGTTTTTTTTTTTTTTTCAGCTGCCCCCTCGTCCCTGCCCCTCTCTAGTCACAAGGACTGTGATACCTAAAATTAACTGTCAGGAAAAATGCCTTCATGTTAATCCCTTTCTGGAGCAGCCAGCAATATTCCTCCCGGCGTGGCAGCCTGCCAGAGGCATGCAGGAGACAAGGCTCCCCTGCCTACCTTTTTTAAAAGCTTGGCACAACCTTTGGAAACTAATAAACTGGAAAAGTATGGCAATTAGACTAAGAGGAGATGAAGCTGTATCATTGTTTAAACTCACTCGTACCGTGGCCTGAAAAAACTAAGGTTGACCTAAGGCAGCTGAAATTGCAGCTAGGCAGGCTTTATCAAAGAGAGATACAACTATAATAAAAAATAAAGGCCAAGCTAGAGCACTCTGCTACCACGCACAGAAATACTTTGGGTGGCTGCACCATCATTTGGTGTTTACATGTCACTGCTGAGATTTACTCTTGGAAATCTGTTCATGACGAAGAGTTGTCTGGGGAGCTGCAGCTAATCGACTCCAGCGTCTTTTTAATCCTCTCAGACTCCAAAGACCATGGTTTATCTCCATTTTGGACCACCTTCCAGGACAAGCTGGCAGCCAGGAAATCTACTGGTATGAGAACCGCAGAGGAAGGTTGGAGCATCTCCTGCTCCTCTGGCAGGAGGCAACTCCAGGGTGTCCTGGAGGGACACAGATGCTCCTGCATGAGGGCACAGCCACTGCCTGCAGCCTCCCAAAAGCCTAAATTCATGATAAGGGGAGCCATGAGGCTCGAAACTCATAACTTTTGCAGAGGGGAGATGAGCTGAATTAAGGACGACATCTGACACCAGCGGATGTGCCCTTACTTCGAACTCACAAACAGATCCATGTAAACCCGAGGCTCCTGGCCTGGGAAAGGCATGTGACCAACAAAAGTCTGGGGATTAATATTTTTCTCTCACCATTGGTGGTCTGGGTAATTGCACACATGTAGCAGATTGTAAATTGGAGGTTTCATTCCCTCACTAACACACTGCTGGGCAGCCATGAACCCTCCTCGCTTAGTTAAAGCCACGGCTCAACCTTAACGAGAAGCTAAAAATTGGGTAAATCTGTTTTTTTGGCAAATGCTGTCCCAGATAAAGCAGGACAGTGAAAAACTAATGCAGCACAGATGTGCAAGAACTGAAAGGACATCCTGAATAAAAACCCACCAAGAAGTCTTAAAGATATTAAGCTCTTCTTATGCCTTGCACTTCTGGTGAGCCAGCCACATGGGACATATGCCGTGCCTGTGTGATGGGCACAGCTCCCAGGGCACTGTCACACACATTTTGGAAAGATGGTCACTAGACAGAAGCTAATACCAAACTTTTCTGTCCATGAATGTCTTTTGCAGGCATTTGGTTCTCATGCCCGTTTTATCATTATCATAAGGTATCACCAGCAATCCAATTAGCCTGTAATTACTTTTAGAGCTTTTCTAATCACTTATGTCTCAGGTGTATCATTCTCTGTGTCTAATCACATTGAAGCGTATCACCTTCAACTGTAAAACAATCAGCTAATCTGGCTGTGTAACCTCAATCATCTAGGAAATTGATTTTCTTAGGTATTTTTCATAGGCTTTCAAGACCTGTCGGATGCGGGGACATGGGGTGGCTCAGCAGCGGTACCCATACCAAGGCTCAGGAAAAGGAAAATGTCACCTTCCCCTGGTCATCCTGGGGACCATCAACATACTTCTGATCAAATTAACCATCTTCCAGAAGGAAGAGCAGTCAGGAGAGACATGAGAGTGCACAGCCCAGGGACATGAGCCTCTCCAGGGTCATCTGCATGTAAATTTGCCTAAAGTCAATAAATATATAGGTATTAAAATGAAATGCATATCCTCTCAAGGATCCTGATCGAAGCAAAGGTCTTTGCCTCTGCTTTTTACTTAATGAGCACTCCGGGTGTCCTCAAGCCATTTAAAACACGACCTGGACCTTTTACCCTGGGCTAGACTGCCCATGACGCCACATAAAGCGAGGGCGTGAAATTTTGGCTTTGCCATCCAAAACGCCAGCTCCCTGGAAGTCCTCATAACCACTGTCCTGCCTTGCGAAGGCAAACGTGAGCGAAAGGAGCGGAGTCAGTGCTTTGTGGATTTGGAAGGAATTCCTATTATGCTACAGTAATTCTGGTATCTGGGTTACATCTGAAAAAAGAGGTCAGGCTGACTTGAATTTTCCATGCACACTGCCCTAGCAAAAAAGTCTGTTCCTTCAATTCCTCGTTAGCCATTTGTATCACTCAACAGCAAATAAGCAAGCTTTTGAATTTACCTTATTAAGTTACATTTGTTGTGGGCACAGCGAAACCAGGGCAGAAACATCTAATTCTTAGGGGATTTTCTTTCTCTTTTAATTGACCTGCTATTTTGTGGTAGAAAGCCGATGGATCACATAGGCAGCTGATTATGTTTCCAGTTTCTATTCCAACTCCTGTATTTGCCACCGCCTCATTACTGACAAGAAGCACACTCCACATGGAGCCAGCCTGCCGATAGCTCAGGCAGTAATGTGAAAATGAGAGGCTTTTTCATTTCATTTTTATGGCTTTTCCACACTTGGGGGTAATTCACCTGCAGGGTAAAATTCTGCCGTGTTTATAGGATTGGGGGTCTGGCACCTTTTTGGCTTGTTTTGAGGAGGGAAGGGGCATAGGAACAAGGCAGTTTTGGGGACCTACTTTGCTATGTATACGTGGTCAGGAAACGATGGAGATATTCAAGCATGAAGCAGCAAGGGTGAGGACAAGGTATTACCAAAGCAGGCACCATGCTGTGCTAAAATACCTATTGCCCATGCCATTGCTCCTACAAGGAAAGATGAAAGCTAGGAAAACAAGTGCTCCTGACCTCTCCATCTCCATCCCTCCACAGCTGAAGGACCAAGAGGAAGGCAGCACCTCTGGGAAAGCACCTGAGCTGTGCTGGCAGCAGGTGAGAAGGAAAACATAGGTACTTTTCATAGGGGAATTTCATCTTCAGCTGGAAGCGTTTAACCAAGCGCCAGGAGACAGCTCTTGCCTTCCAACCCCAGCATCAGACGTGTTGGCATAAGGAGGCTCAGCTCCATGGGCTGAATTCAGCTTTTTGGCTGACATATAGAGCTCTCACCATGCAATTGTTTCCTAGCACAGCTCTAGGAAACCTGGCAGGAAAAGAGAAATGAGGAGACATTGGGAAAGTGGTGCATTAGCTACTTTTTACAGTGAGGACTCTGGGAGTATGCTCTGCGTGGAAGGTTTTAATCGTCTTTTTAATACGGCTATAATACCCAATCTCTTCAAAAATCTAATACTAACCTGTGAAACTTTTCCAGGTACTGCTTAGCTGAAAAGATGTATCCTTTCTTTTTTTTTTTTAAACCTTACGAAATAGGCAAATACTAAGAGTTATTTGAATAGGGACAAACCATGTCAAGTCCTTATTGACACTAAAGTCTTTTTTGCTTCTACTCTGAACTCATACCAGAGGGTGAAGAAACTTTTGTGGAGCTCACAGACTTGCCCAAACAGCTTTGGACCTGTTTACAGGCTTCAAGACTAATCTCATTCCTCCTATTACAGGCTTTCATTTGCAAATGTTTACTGCTCCACCCTCACACGGAAGTCAGATAATCACAGCGGAGATGTACACCTCAGTAGATAGTACAGACACACCAGCAAGACAGCATTAAACCCACAACACCGATGGGCCATTGGTGCCATTGGCTAAAGAGGTGACAAAAAGCCATCGAGGATGCCCAAGAGACGGGAGAGGAGGTTTTGGATGTGGTACTTACAGCGAGGATAGCAATGAGGATGCCTGCAGCACATAGCACTGCATCATTGATTGTCTCCATCGTCTTCAGCGGATACCTGATGCTGTCATCATCGCAGTAGAAGCCCCGCTGGTAGGGCTGGATTGTGCTTGTTTCAATGATGAGAAAGGGCAACCCAGCTAGAAAGAAGGGGAGACAATAACCAAACCCATCAGCAACACAGGTAAACACAAGCAACTCGCAAAAAAAAAACCAAAAAAAAAAAAAACCCCAAAAAAAAGACCCAACGAGAAAATCCTTTGCAAACCATGCAGCACCATTCCTGATGATTTTCTTTTCATCTTGCTATTTTTCCAAAGGGAATAGCATTGGGATTTGTTTTTCCAAGTCACTCTTGCAGGGAAAAAGCATCTCCTCTGTTATGGTTATCAGATGTCTGCACTGCCTGGTTTCAGTTAAGCCTTATGCACAGCAAATATTAACTTACAGGAATGGACCCCTAAAGCAATCCCTCTGCAAAAAGCCATGAAAACGAATCTGGCACTTTTCTCCGGGGAGGGCCCAGTGCTCTGCCGAGTGCCCCATGGCAGGGCAGCCCAGAGCTGTGCAAACAAACACTGGAGGATCCAGTATCAGCACAGCTTCTGCTACCTGGCCAGCCCAGCTACACTCCACCCCCATTATTTTTATGCCTCTACAGCCTTAGAATCATAGAATCATAGAATGTTTAGGGTTGGAAGGGACCACTAGTGGTCATCTAGTCCAACTCCCCTGCAGTGAGCAGGGACACTGCTAACTAGATCAGGTTGCTCAGAGCCCCATCCAACCTGGCCTTCCTCAGCTCCCTCCCTCTCTGCATTTACAGGGTATACATATGTTTGTACCTACTAATGCCGTAAGACTATGTGCTTTGAGCAGCTGTGGGACACCCACCCTTGACCCATCATGCAAGGGGAACCTGAGCACACACGCAGCCAGCCCATCCACAAGAGCTGCTGAACTCCCATCAAAGCCCGTTCACTTTCAGTTACATTAAAGCCACATGAAAACTGTTTTTAAATGCTGTTTGCAAACCCCCTGTGCAGGAGACCTGCGTCTGCACAGCTCGGATGGACTTTTGCACCCGGCATGGAACAGATGTGCTCAAAACCACAAGGTGATGGGTAGGACACACACTATGGAGGGGACACCTTGAAACCCCATGTAATAAAATATGTAATTCCATATTCTTCTAAGTCTTCCAGAGAAATACAGTGTTGCCTCAAACCAGAAAGGAGAGCCCTAGGGTATTTCTCGGGCATGATGTTACCTTGAGCACGGCACGCTCCTTCCCTTCGCCTCAGTTTCCCCATCCATCTCTGCTACCAAGCCCATCACAGAGAAGCAGTACATCCCCAACCAAAGCAAGCCCCAAATTCCCCGAAACCCACGTTCAGAGTAAATCACAAACCACAAGGTGCAGGAAACCCTCCTCCCACTTGCAGAGTGAAACCCAGGTAAGGGGAAAACAAACGCAGAGCAGTTCAAACTGTCCTTGGGCCAAGGCAACAGGTCTCACGCCCAGATCCTACAGAAAGTACTAGGGACATTTGTTGGCCACTAACTTGCTTAAGTATCTGTAGGTTGGTTTACACAGCAAGAAGTCTAAGACATCAGAGGGTTTTTCCCTCTAAAATTTAAAAAAATTAAAAAATTAAAAATGAAGTGCTGCTGGGCTTCAGCAAAATTTGTCCACAGTACATTTTCAGTGATCGTGATCTGCTAGATGTGATTAGCAAAGGTGTCATCCAGGGAGTTAAAAAGTATCATCAAAGTAATGTTCCCCATCTCCACGTGAACCACTTTCTGTATTTTACTTTGCACAATCCATTTTGGCTCCTTTTCCTACATGTTAATAGGTTTGCCTAATCCGGGATTATTAGGGGGTTTTGTTAAGTCTTAAGAAAAGGGAAAGTCCCCACCATCTGCTCTGTGTGAGCAGGAACAACCACATGTAGACCTGAAGCTTCCCAGGTACCCAAGAGCAGTTGGGGCCACTGCTCAGGAACCCTTTCAGATCCTCTCAAAAATTCTAGAAATGGGTTAATCGCAAGCACTGGGCCCCACGGCACTTGGCAGGGCAGCACAGTTTCCACCGCACACGTGAACCGGCAAGGAAAGGTTTCAGAACCTCCTGCCCAGCTCAGATTTGGTAAATAAAATCGGACAACTCGTGTGAATCCAGTTGATCTTCATTCCACCATTTAACCGTTTTGATGCCTAGCCAGCTTGGCCCCAAAACATGCCTCTGATGCCAGCAATCTGATATTAATAGGCCACTTAAAAAATTCTTAGTTTCCCAATGAAAAATTGCAGGAGAAGAGCTAATGTCGCTTGGCACGATCCAATTTCACATGCACTTGAAGCAGCGGCGTAACAGTTGAACTCGGGGAGTAGACATGCCACGGTTACGTGGCTTATTGTTATTTCTCCAGTTCCTCTTGTTAATAGCTTTCACATGACAGGTCTGTAAAACACATGTTCCCACAGACAATAAAATACATCTGAAAGCTAAAACTGGCTTTAAAAAAAAAAAAAAAAAAAAAAAAAAAAAAAAAAGAAAAAGACAATAGTGTTCCTATATATTATGTGAACCCAGGAATAATAAAGATTTGTTTTCCCTTCATTCATTGAACAGCATGGGGTAGTATTTCCGCGTTTCAATTATATATACGCTTGCCACAGCTATAATAGAGTATAACTGACCTATATAGTACACATTTGCTTAAAGAGCGCATAGGCATAGTTTAGAAAATCCAATGGTTTTGTTTTCTCTCCTACAAACTTGTGGTTTAGTGGGATATTGCCAATCAAGTCTTGACATTTTTCCAGCAGAACAGTAACCTCAGATTCCCTTTTTTTTCCCCTTCCCCCCCCCCTTCTTTTTTTTAAACATGAGAAACATAAACATACTCTCCATAGCTGAACGGATATTACTTAGAAGACAAAACATGCCTTTGATTTCGAGGGCTGGGTGAGAGGCTGCTCTTTCAGCTGTAATTTCCCAAGGAAGAGAAGACCCCAGCCCAAGGCAAACAGTAAATCATGCTCAAGATGGCTCTTCTTCCACAAGGTTATTTCTTGGAGGACGGGTTGTCTAAGTGACTAGGTCACCACCCACTTTTTTTTTTTTGGCAAGGGGGTTCCAGCACGGAGAAGCCTGTAGTGGTGCCAAAAGGCAGCCAGAGAATGGGTTTTGCAGAAAAACACTACAGAGGGAAGTCTGGAAGAAGACAAAATTAAATGCGGAGAGAGCTGCCTTTGGGATCCCTCAGCAAAACACCACAGAGACATTATTCACACTAGGAGATCTGCCGGAGGCAAAAGTATCCAGAAGCGGGGCTACAGCCCACACACCCTTGGGAATGGAAGGCAAGCAGCGTAGGGTTGTACCATGAAGATGGTACATCTGGCCTCATTGCCTCTTTTGGCCTAGTCTACCCCTCCGATTCAGTGTTTTAACAGGAAATTCAGATTACGCATCCCTGGCTGCAGCAATCTGCATCTACAAATTCAACAGCTGAACCCCGTAAAAGGTGGAGCTTTCACCCTCCACCACTTCCCATCCCTACCAAAGGTACAGAATTATTGAGAATACAAGAGGTACATTTCAGGAAATGGTAACGACGCTGACTTGCATTGAAGTGAGAAACAGATGTACACAGCAGGCAAAAAATTACACTGATTTTGGGGATGGCCACTCTTCTCCAGAAACAGTCCTATTTGGCCACTCTCTCTGTGGCTATGACTCACCTACATGTACAGACCTACTGCAAAATCTTTAGTAATGCTATAGAAGGGCCTCACATCCTCCTTAATACTGGAATCTCCATGCTGAGAAATTACACAGCAGCCTGTGGACCATGCCCTAAGCCACGGAGTCAACCCTGTCGCATCCACGTAGGACTGTGCAGCCAGAGAAGTACTGTTATCCCCCATCTCACAGACAGAGAAAACTAAAGCACAGAACAAAGGCATTTCCTTATTCCAATGCAAAAAAAGGTAAATGGAGCTGAGATTACCTTCTGAACTGTAACATCCTTCGCAAGGTGAAGGAAAGGTTTTTTCCTTATATAAAGGGGATTTTTTGCTTTAATAACAGAACAAGGAAATCCCAGCCACACGTTTTTATCTGACTATGCTGTAAGAGATCAAACAGGGCTCCAGACCATGAGCATAATAGAAATCTCTTGGGGGCTGATCCTGCCCCGTCCAAGCCCAGAGGCGTTTTGCCACAGGGTCCATGGTGCAGAAAGTGGCTCAGCCCCATTCTGAGCAGCACCAAGCAGGTGTAGCAAAGCGCAAGGCAGCGCAGGATGCCGTGGGGCTGGACATTGAAATATGATGTTGCTTTTGCTGGGAGGAAGTCCAAGTGACTTGGTGACCTCTAGCCGCTGGCGTCCTGCGCTAAGGATCTCAGTGCAGGGTTTAAATTTATTTGTCTTTCCACTTAATAAAGCCAATCAAGTTTAGAAATCTAGCACCAAGGTAAAAATATTCCTTTCCTTGGTTAGCAGCTTTATTAAAGGGCAATTAATAGGCAATAATCCTGGGAAGGCTGGCAGCATGAAAACTAAAACCCCACCAACCAAGCCTAAACAAAAACCCTTGCAAAACCCCCATGTACTCTCTGACCAGCTTGAAACGTGCATAAAATCAAAGGCAGAAGAAAAAAGGGCTCTGTGTTGGGTACAGCACTTTGAATCTCAGAGCCTTTGAAAAGTTAACACTTGTGACGATTTAATGGGGGAAAAAAAAAAATCTAAAAAGGGGATAAGCTTTCATTGGCCACCCATTGGAAAAGCTGCAGAGGGAGCAGGAGGGGAAGAGGTGTTTTTGCAGTGACCCACCCATGCAGCTCTCATCTTCCCAGCCCAACCTTCACCTTTGCACCAAATTAAACATCATCATCACTGTCTTTCCCCCCCCCATGTTTGGTTTTGACAGAGGTTGGGTTTTTACCACTAAATCTTTCTTCTTTCAGCCCTGCAGGTCAGTGGGATGTTGCTGGCTGTCTCAACAAAGCAATGGTAATTTCGAACAAGCACTCTGTGATGTGTTTGGCTGCCAGTGTCCAGGCCCTGGGAGTGTTTTTAAGGTTTCGGTAGATTAGACATCTATCTTAATAAGTGAAAAAGATCATTACATAATTTGGCAGGGCTGAGCAGGGCATCTAATTCCTCATTCAAGACACACTC